GAGTTGGGCTTTATTAGAACTAGGGCTGCAACAACTAATCGACATAATCGATTATAATCGATTATTGAAAAAGTTGTCAACTTTTTCAATCATCGATTAATCGGCTTCTGGTTAGTTGTCCCTGTTCCCGGCTCCACACACACACACACGCTGCGCGCCGCACCTCCTCACGCTCGCTGCTGCCAGACCCGTCCGCACCCACGCTCCACACGCCGCATCTCCTCCCCGCCTCACGCTTACCGCCATCCCACATCCACGATCGGCAAAGGGACACGGGGAGAAGAAGTGAAGAAGTAAGGAGGAGCAGGTGTGGGGGGATGACAATCGCCGATAGACAGGCCCTATCTCAGAAGCAAGTTGCTGGAAGACTGCTCAGGTAAGCCTGCACTCCCGCCATCACTTTTTTTTTTTCTTTACCATCACCGCTACAAGCTTGCTCCTGTGATGGACTACAATCTCAATACAAACTAGTAGTCCATCACTGGAGCCATTTTTTAGAATGTATTTTATTGTTTATCCGATTAACCGATTAATCAAACTCAATCGGCTAACTAATCCATTTTGAAAATAATCGTTAGCTGCAGCTCTAATTAGAACCGCCCACCCACCTCAGTGTAGCTCTGATGAAATATTTACCTTCCTCCCTTCTCCTGAATTTGCATAAAGTCCCATTTGGATTTTTTTTTTTTTTTTTTTACTGTATATGCAAGCTGAGGCCTTCATTTTTTTATCAATGAGCCTTACACAAGGCGGCCTCCAGTCATCCAGCACAGTTGGGGCCCGTTCACATGAGTTTCAGGTCCGGATCAGGTGCGGATCAGCAGACGCGGTGCTATGTGTTTTGCCGCGTTTTTGATGCGTTACAGTAAAAAAATATATTTTTTTTTGCTGGAGTGGGGCTGTCAGTATGTTAGCTGCAGTGCGTTTTTGACGCGTTTCCTGACCGTACAAAATGTGACATGCAGTATTTTTCTGTCGTAACCTGAAAGGACTGCGCACGTGAGAGCTGTAGCCCATAAAACACATAGCAATGCATTTTTAGTGCAGGAGCGTACGGATCAGGTCAGCACAGAAAACTGACGTCGTGTGAACAGGCCCTAAGTCCTCTCCCTTTTGAAGTGAACCTAGCCTTTACCAGTAAAGTCCTGGATTGAGGGCACAACACAGGGAATAAAGCAGTTGGTGTTGCACTTATTTCCATGCCCTGATCTAGACATCTTCCCCCTTCAGGTTGCCGAGCCTATTCACTTCCACTCCTGTGTTGTGCTTTGTGGCCAGCCGGTTGTCAGGGAACCATAATGGACTTCTAGGGGGGCCCACAACTAATTCAGAGTGCAGTACAGGCAAGCAGAGGTTTGTTGACTTGGCTGCTTGATCTCAGAATCCAGAAAATGGATGCAAGCATAATGCCTGTCATTAAACTCGCTGACCCCTGATCAAGGGCCCATTCCTGGAGTCCTTCAAGGGTTCACTGTGCACGGTTATTGTTCAGATTCGGAGTTATAGGCGGACGTTTGTGTGAACTAAAAGGAATACTGTGCCGTAATTTTCACTTACACAACGGTTCCTTCTTTGCAGATGCTTACCAGTTCTCACATTAAAGGGGATTCCCCCCCTTGGATTTAGGATAGAAAACACCACCACTTGTTGAGCGTTGCTGACAGACGGGTTGTGCTGCTCTTAACCCTGCCAGTCAGCTGTTTTCTGTGTTCCAGTATGTGTCTGAAGGGGCCAGCACAGGAAAACATGCAAACTCCATGCAGTTAGTGTCCTGGTTGGGATTCGAACCGAAAAACCTAGTGCAGCAAGGAAGGATTGTTAACCACTATGCCGCCCCTATTTTACGTGTGTAATAAGATATTCAATATTTCTGTTACATGGTAATTGAACATACTCCGAAAATGCCATTCAGTGTTCTAAATGGTCTTCTGGCTAAAGATTAGATTGGTGGATATTCTGCATTTTTTTTGTTTTTATATGCAAGTCTTGCTTTTTTTATTTGGGAAAGGCACGTTGGTTTTTATTTGGAGTCCAATGTTAACTGTGGTTATCGGACCTGAACTGTGTAAGGCGTACCCACAAAGGCAGAGAACTGGTAACCAGTATTGCCTGTGGTCTCCCTGTAGCTAATCTCTTCCCCATTACTGACCTACCATGGCTTGTTCTGCTTTGTGTCTCTGTGTGGAAGTAGCCATCTTGGTAGAGGCAGGGCTTTGCTGTATGTTGGAGCCGTATCACAGTAGACTCAAAGGAGAACTATGAGGTGAGTGATTTACATAGTTAGAGCCGACGTGTGACATTGAAACTGTCACACGCCCACTCTATAGATCGGGAAGTGAGAGAACACATAGCGTCACTCGCTCACTTCCCGATCATCTCCCTGCAGAAAAAAAATTCTGTAATGTCTTCCTTATATTGAAAAGCGCTGCGCAAACTGTTGGCGCTATATAAATCCTGTATAATAATAATCAGTGACAGTCCCCTCTCCAATCCTCCAGCGCTGACCGGAGGAACAGACTGGTGAGGGGGCGGGTATAGCTGGTTCTGCCTCTAGATAGGCAGAGCCAGCTGTCGCACAGCTGGGCGGATCTCAGTATTATTGGGTTTCGTCCCGGCTGCGGCGCTCTCAGTATATAGCAGGCAATAGCTTGCTATATACTGAGCGTTGGATCACCGGAGGACGTTGGTATAAAAAGGTTACCCCATAGTTCTCTTTTTAGCAGAACACCAGGGAAATCAAATCTTAACCCTTGCAGTGGGGCTACCCATGCATTGCAAAGGGTTAAGTGCTCCTTTTTGTCTAGGGAGCTAAAATAAGTTATACTCACCTGAACTGCAATCCTGGCTGGCTCTTAGACTGGTCCCTTCAGCCTTGCTCCCACTCTGCTGCGGGGGGTCCAAGGCCCTGTGATTAACCACATCCTATACAGTGTATAGGGCACCGAGAGACACATCATCGCTGGAGAAGAGGAGGAGACGGCTGCAGGGAGCAATGTAAGAGCCAGCCGGGATTGCGGTTTGGGTGAGTAACTTTATTTTAGCTCCCTTGACAAAACCCGTGCAGTGTGGGGGTAGCCTCAATGCAAGGGTTAAGATTTAATTTGCCCGGAGTTCTGCTCTAATATTGCTTGAGTTCCCAAGTGGAGATGTTATAGTGTATGGGGTGTGTGTTGTAGAAATGTTTTGTAGTGGAAGCCGGTGTATAGAGCTGCAGACCTTCTCCGGTCCGCTTCAGTGGCAAGCTTCTGCAGTAGGTCACTGTTGCCGTCATCTGTTTCTTGTTACTTTTGTATTTACAAAATGTATAGCCCAGCGCTCATGGTTTGGTTACTAAAATGAGCTGTTGAATGACTGTTTTAAAGTGACCGTAAGCTCTGGAATAAAATCTTAAACACATTCAAGTACCTTGACTATTAACATAAATGTATCTTATTAGTGTATCACTCGGCTGTAGATCCTCCAATCATCTCTGAATTGGTGCTGACACTGTCCTTCCTTCTGGAGGGGGGCTACTTCTGTTCCCCATGGTCCCTGTGTGTGTTGTAAAGTAGTCACCGCTCCAAGCTCACTCCCGTGATAGACTACAATCTCATGTTTAGTTTACTGATTTGTATTGAGATTGTAGTCCATCCCGGGAGTGAGCTTGGAGCGGTGACTATTTTACAACACACACAGGGGCCATGGGGAACAAAAGTAACCAATTCAGAGGTGATTTGAGGCTCTACAGCCGAGTGATACACAAATAAGATACAATGTTAATAGTTAAGGTATTTGAATGTATTTTTAAGATGTAGCTCCTGAGTTTAGGGTCACTTCTAGGAGATTTACTGTTTTAAAGGAGAACTATGAGATGAGTGATTTCCACTCACCTCATAGTTCTAGCCGACCTGTGACAATGAGACTGCCACAGGTCGGCTCAGTAGATCGGGAGGTGAGGGAACACATACCAGGTTCGCTCACCTCTCGATCCTGTCACGGCTCTCTGCTGTGACGGGGAGGGGCTGGATTCCCCTCTCCCCGCTCCGATCTGCCATCGCTGACTGGCGGAACGGACGGGGGAGGGGGCGGGTACAGCTGGCTCTGCCTCTAGATAGGCAGAGCCAGCTGTCACTCACGCAGCTGGGCGGATCCCGTCATCTACGTTGGGATCCGCTGCGACGTCTCAGTATATAGGGAGCTGTAGCTCGCGGTATACTGAGCTTAGGGTAACGGGAGGACGCTAGTTTGTTGCGGATCCGCGCAGCCTGGATAGCGCGACTGTTCGGGCGACCGTTACCCTCGGGCTGCATGCAAAAATAGAAAAATTGCGCGACATCCACGGGGAAAAAGGGTCCTGCACAAACGACAGGCGACATGGAGCTCTACAACAGAACAGCTCCATTGAAAATCATTGGACGGCAACTTCTCGCGGCAAATATGCACGGCAGTGTGAATGGGCACTTAGGCTGTGATTCAATAAAGGATTCTGTTCATGAACGTTCTCGATCTGTGTGCTGATATTCAGATCTTGACCTTCCGTTTGATGCCTCTGTGTAGTAGAGTCACCTTTCTCTTTTATTAATAAACAGTGGAGAAAGCTCCATCCCCATATCTTCAGGTTTTGTCGGACTGAAGCCTGACAATTTAAACACAATTATTTTGTACAGGAAACCTGTGTATATATTCTGCAATTGGAGCTGCCAGTAGAGCTAGTAGTAGCAGATCTTGGCCTGTAAATTTGCTTTAGGTTGGTGTATATATTGAAAACGGATCATATTTTGGTAAAATTCTGGATGTGTACATGTGCCGGCTTATCGGAGTACACAAAACTATTTTTAGCATTTGCACCGCAAAGCATTGAACTATCTTTCCCCTGCTTTGGCTACAGTTCCCTTTATTGGGGAGGAAGTTTTTCATGGTGTAAATGTCTAAAACAATGTGGCTTGAGATGTGCAACGTTGTCTGTAGTTCTCTCCATTATTTCTGCCACTTACCTTTTTTTTTCTTTTTCTTCTCTACAGCTCCCGTCATAAACAGATACAGCAGAAGGGTATCGGGTGAGTTTTTACCATATCATGATGTTGTAGAATTTATGTCATTGTCACACAAAGTATTTACACCAGATATGTTACAGGATATGAGGAATGCTGACTAAAGTTAGATGATGAAAACCTAAATCAAAAAAATGGAATCTCAATGCTCTATACATTTCAAGGTTTTATCGGTGCCCAGAACTTTCCACATCTGAAGGGAATTTGCATGTAACCTGCTTGTTCTAGGCCTAGTTTTAAAGTCTAGCTTCCTTTTAGACCGGTCCCTGGAGCCTCTCTCCCCCTCCGCTGCAGCGTCTAAGGTCCCGTAAATCATCACGTTCTATACAGTCTATAGGCTAAGGACACTGAGGGACATTCTATTGTTGCAGCAAGGGGGCGGGGGGGGCAGGCTGGAGGGAGCGCTGTCCGGCTTCATGCTCCCTCGTCACCAAGTGACAAAGCATGGAGCTGCCTTCACGACCAATCAGGGGGGCGAGTCATTACCCGGCTTCCAGATTGGCCGGGAAGCCAGCATGGTGAAGAGGGAACATGGAGCCGGCTTCCCGATCAAGCAAGAAGCCAGGCTGCGTGTAATGACTCGCCGCCCGGCTTCCTGATAACAGAAGTTCCGGTATCAGGATAGGCATTGGGAGCATCTGGCGAGTACTCGCCCAAATACTCTGCATCGGTACCGATACGGTATCTGTGCATCCCTAGTCTCTAACATAGATCCTGTAGAAGGTCATTTTCAATGGAAACAAAATTTGCCTGTGAATTGTGTGATCGGTATTCAACAATCTCCAACACAGATCCTGTATATGTTCATTTTGCATGTGTCCCTCTGTATTCAGTCAATTGTCCCAATACTTTCTGCACTAAGCAGAGCGCCTTAGAGTTTTATAAATCTAAACTTTTCCCAACTGCTCCGGAGTCCCGTCCTCTGTTACATCATATACACATTTATTGATGCGATGGAATCCTCCGCCGCATGCTTAGCAGGTGTGCCGTGCTTGTATTCCATGATCCCGAGTCGGCCCCACGCTTGTCATGTGACGGGATTAGTGTTAAGTTTAGCTTCATGCATATGTTGCCTTGAGCTGATTGTGCTTTTCCTGCCTTAGGATATCTGTTGCATCTCGGAGAGGCTCGGGGGTGATTTATGAAAACAGTAGCTAACAAAAGCTGTTTTCTTGTGGCTGCCAATTGGATGTTGGCCTTTGTGTCTGTTTTGTTTCTTTGTATAGTAGATCTCATTGATTTGCAGTAGTAGCGGCCTGTTTTTCCTAACTGATTCCAAAGAACGTTTTCAATCTGCATTGGGGTCTGTAGTCGGCATAATTGTTTCCATTAGCAAACCAGCAATTAGCAGTCGGGGGTCACAGCAGATTGTGTCCTGACACTTTGGAAGACATTTTGTTTATTGCTCATCCTAGTGGCCATGTGTCGGGTATAAAGGGATGTAACATAATGTCATGTAACAAGAGCGCTGCAGGCAGACTGGGGTCCGTGAACTGTTGTGCTAGGTACGGGGTAGTGCTAGAGACAAAGCTACTATACGGTGAAAGAAAACCACACAACCTTTTGCTGCCTGTAATCCTGTGGAAAGATTCAGAAATGGGGAATTGTCTTTGCTCAGTGACAAATAAAAATATGTTCAGCATTGCCTGGTGAAACCTAATCATGCCAAAGATGGCTAGCAATAGCAAATATATGGTGCCGGTGTTTTATCGAAAGCTCCAACTCATCGAGATCCCCAACTACTTCACTTCCAGTGCTCAAAGACTGGAGCGCTGAACACTTGCGGTGCGCATGCGCGCATAGCATTTTCAGAATACTCGTCGACTTTACCACCTGCTGAATATTGTTAAAATGCACCTGTACAGAGCTCCGTCAGTCTTTGCGTTTTGCAGTGTAACGCCGTCTGGTCGAAATCTCTAACTTGCAAGTACCCGGCAGTGAGGTAGTTGGGAGATTTTGACGAGTTGGAGCTTTCGATAGAACAGCGGTTTTCAGAGGTTTACTATTACAAAAGCATTTTACATTTTTTTTAAATCTGGGAGCGCAGGTTTTACAGACTTGGTCCTGTCACCGATCAATAAAAAAATTAGTAAGACGACCACTTTTTGGGGTTTTGTTTCTTCTGCTTGCTGTGTCCTGTCGCAGATATTACCTTTCACTTCATGTTCTGCAGACAAAGCAGGAAGTGAAATCGCTCCGAATCACCTCTGTTTTGTTACCATTTGTACAATTTTAGATTTCTTGCTACTTTTTTCTCCCAGCAATACTTACCGGGACAAATGGGGATCTTCTAGGTCAGGGGTGGGGAACCTCCGGCTGTGGTGAAACTACAAATCCCGTGATGCATCTGTCTCTGGGAGTCATGCCTGCCATCACGAGTCTTGCAATGCCTCATGGGATTTGTATTTCACCACAGCTGGAGGGCCGGAGGTTTCCCACCTCTGTTTTAGCTGGTGAGACGGAAACAAAACTTGACAAATACCCTGTTTCCCCGAAAATAAGACCTACCCCGAAAATAAGACCTAGTACTATTTTTGGGAATTGCTAAAATATAAGACCTACCCCGAAAATAAGACCTAGTTGTGACGATTCCCAGGGCCGGTGGTGGCATAAGGGGGAACTTGAAGAGCCGCATAAGAGAATCAGCGGTACCAACGAAGCCAGCGCTAGAGGAAGCGGGGCTGCACCCGAGGAAGCAGAGCCGCATAAGCCGATGCCTCCTCTATAGCGCCGACTCCTGTCACAGGCGAAGTGATACCAAATGCACTCCGCCTGTGAGGAATCTATAGTGAAAGTGCGCTTCGCTCATTCTGGCCAGCGATTGGTTAGCAAATTGCTCTTGGAAAGGTACGGCACCCCTGATTGCCTTGATCACCATATTTTTGTACGTGAATAAGTGTGGATTGTTGTACATTTAAAAAAAAAAGACCTACCCCGAAAATAAGACCTAGTGTGTTATTTTGAGCCCCAAAAAATATAAGACAGTGTCTTATTTTCGGGGAAACACGGTATCCCAACAAAAAAAAGGTTTTGCCTATGGCTTCACTTTTTAAATTGAAAGAACTACATGCCCGCTGAATGTTTTGGTCAGGTTTCCAGTGGGGGTGGGCCTGCTTTCTAAGCTGTTGCATGGAAGGCGGACGCAAAACTCGGTAAATCTTACAAATACGTTCAACACCCTATTAACAACAATGTATCTTATTGGTGTATCACTCGGCTGTAGATCCTCCAATCATCTCTGAATTGGTGCTGACACTGTCCTTCCTTCTGGAGGGGGGCTACTTTTGTTCCCCATGGTCCCTGTGTGTTGTAAAGTAGTCACTGCTCCAAGCTCGCTCCCGTGATGGACTACAATCATGTTTAGTTTACTAATTTGTACTGAGATTGTAGTCCATCACAGAAGCGAGCTAACAGTGTTAGATGGAAAAACAAGTGTTCTATAATTGTGTATAAAAAAAAGTATTGCTACAATAATTCCCTGACCAGTTAAGATTTCATTGCTCAAGATCTCTTTAACCCTGAAGCACGCCATTAACCGTACGATCGGGTAATTCCCGGACACATTTACAGAATAATAAGCCATTTCTCTGGTGTCAGTGTAAACGTGGCACTTTTTGCCCAGCCTGTTATTTTAAAAAAAAATTAATAAAAAATCTTCCAGTGCAGATTAGCAAATTTTGTATTTTGACCTTGCTGCCGGAATACTTTTCTTCCTTCCCAAGGCTAATACAAAAGAAAAATATCAATTTATTCTTTCGCTGAAGAATCCTGAGGTTGTGATAACAGCCGCTTCGACCTTCTATTCCTGCAAGGCCTCTGATAAAGGGAGGCATCTGTGAAAATCACAAGCCTGCTACCAAAATGGAGAATTTTTTCAGAGTTCACTAAAGGAGAACTATTTTTACGGCGACCTTTCTTAAAGGGGTCTCAGATTTTATACAGAATTTTCATTAACGGCAGAGCGCCGTCCTTCCAGACACTTATTTTTAAAGATAACTCTATGAATAATAGACGGCTATGAGTTCTCTTGGAGCTTGAGGCGTTGATGCTCATACTTGTAGTTCAACAGTTGATGGGAAAACTAGACGGGACATGTTTTGCATCAGGTTTGCCATATGTTGAAAGCTGGTTAGTAGGGGAAGTGACAAAGGCAGCCACTACATTGTAAAGAGTGCCGGACAGAAATATGGATTGCTGAACTCCTTTAGTAAAATCTATATGACATCTTGTATTTTCCAAAGGAGAGGTCAGCAGTCTCAATCGCATATTCTCAGTACAGGTTTCCTTTAAAGCGACACTAAACTTAGGAGCTAAATCTTAAAAAGGGCATTCAAGTACCTAACTATTAACAATGTCTCTTATTTGTGTATCACTCTAATATACAGGGGTACAGGTAATATACAGGGGTACAGGTACTCCTAGAATTAGAATGAGATCCTAATAGGTTGGACTTGATGGACTAATGTCTTTATTCAACCTTAAATACTATATGACTATGTAACTATGTAGATCCTCCAATCATCTCTGAATTGGTGCTGACACTGTCCTTCCTTCTGGAGGGGGGCTACTTTTGTTCCCCATGGCCCCTGTGTGTGTAGTAAACTAGTCACCGCTCCAAGCTCACTCCTGTGATAGACTACAATTTCATGTTTAGTTTACTAATTTGTACTGAGACTGCCGTGACTACTTTACAACACACAGGGACCATGGGGAACAAAAGTAGCCCCCCCTCCAGAAGGAAGGACAGTGTCAGCACCAATTCAAAGATGATTTGAGGATCTACAGCCGAGTGACACACAAATAAGATGCATTGTTAATAGTTGAGGTACCTGAATGTATTTTTAAGATTCAAGGCCTGAGTTTAGTGTCACTTTAAGGTATGTGCAGGGAGTTACTTGGGTGGTCTTACAATTGGGAGAGAACTAGTGATTGGCATCATTAGTGCAGCGATCACTAACACTTCTGGCTGATTGCATAACGGGTACAGTGTGTGCAGAATTTCAGCC